CCCCAGCCACAGAACTGCCTCTTCCTGATGGCTCACGCATCACCTCCAGCAAGGAGAGGTTGTCATTAACCTTCAGTTAACACTCTGATTGAGACGACTGAGTAAAGCTCATGCTCCTCTTGGAGCTGCTGCAGAACCTGCTTAACAGCACAGGACAACCAGCCCCGAGCAGCCCCCATCACCCTGGGCCAGGGCCCCTCAACCTCACCAAACCAGGGAACCATCACTGCCCTGAGCCCAGGGGCACCCACTGCCACCCACTGAACCACCAATGCCAGATGTGTGGCATCCCACAGACCTGACCCACAGGGCCGCCCTCAAGCACCAGTGGCTAGGCACTGCTGCTGAGACATCCCCGCCATAGAGAGGGGACCCCAATAGACAGGTCAGATGCTGCCAGGGCTTCAGCCATGTGACTGCCTCTTCCTATGGCCGCTCACATCACCTCCAGCAAGGGGAGGTTGTCAGTAGACTTCAGAGTCAACAGCAGAATGAGAAGACCTCAGAGGGGCTGCAGAACCTGCCGTATGGCACAGGACAGCTCAGATACACTTCAGGCTGATGCCGGTGCCCCAGCTGTGACAGGCCACAGCTACTCAGCAACCAAAGGCAGCTGCCTCCGTGGTCCAGTCCCAAGCAGCCTTTGGCTGCACTGAGCCCAAGTCATGTTGCAGGGCTGGGGCTGCAGAGGTGAAGGGCAGGACATCAGGGCTGCACTGGCCAGAGACTAAACCCAGGCACTTGGAGGTGCAGGGGGACACAAGAATAGTCCCTCTGCACCACCTCTGCCAGATGTGAGGCTGTTCACACAGCTCCATAGCCCAGACCCCTCACAGGGACAATCAGTCTCAACAGTTGCTAAGCCAATGTCCCTCACTGCCACAGGCCTAGACCCCTCTCTGCCAGCGAGCCAGTATCACTTCTGCCACGCAACAGAGGTGCTCACTGCCACCAAACCAGCTCCTCTCACGACACCCACAATGATAGAAGGGAGGGACACTCACTCACAGTGATGCCACCCTCGGAACATGAGCACCGACCCAGGGCCCCAAGGACAGGGTCAATGTGACGGTGGGTGTACAAAGAAGCACTTTTGGTGCTCCTGTGTGGTGCACAGTTGTCGTCGTTCAAGTCCAGCCGGCAACTTGGAACCACGCAGCCGCTCGCTCACTCCCCACCCCTTCCTTCCTCCCCCCGCTCCACGAGGGACGGGGAGGGGAATAGA